TGATGCAGGTTCTCGCGCACAAACAAGGGCCCACTACCCTCAAGGAATATGCAGCCGATATGTACGCGGATTTCATTTCGTTGTTGCTACGCTAACTCTCAATGCATAATATCTTATTGTTGTGCTTCTTCCTCGCAGACGCGGTTCCACCCCGGCCAGGAGTGCGCCTCGTTCAAGGCATATGCCTTGGCACACAAGGGCAAGGCAAAGGACCCCGACCTCGTCTACAACCCGGAGGACCCGCCCGAGGCATACAAGAATCTGAAGGCAGTGCAACAGCCAATGAGTACACACGGCGATGGCGAGAGAGATCCATGGGCCGAATTTGATCCGAGCACCGCTGACCTCGAGGGTGACATCGTCATGAGGTTGGGACCGTAAGCCACACACGGAGGTACTATATGGGCAACAGCACCATAGACACGGCCAACACTCAGACACTCGCCCAGATTAGAGCCCGGAGCACGAGTTCGAGCCCGGCCATACGCCCACGCTCACAGCCCCAGGTGGTAGCACTCCAGGTTAGTTCTGTTGCATTCGTTGTCCATTCATTTTCTACCCGCTTTTATTTGCATTCTAACTAACTATGTGATAAATAATTGTAGGCCCAGATTGAAGCCCCAGCAGAGTCACAAAGAGGCCTCACAGAGCCGGGCCAGCCCTCCAGCTTATCGCACCAGCCGAGTTGGCACAGAGAGAGGCGCGAGTGCAGGCTCACTTGAGGCCTTCCAAAGATCATGCAGAAGGCCTGCACGAGTACATGGCCAGCTTTTCTCGAGCATGGGCCAGCCTCCACCGCCTCCGCCACCACCGATGATACTGTTGGTGCCTCCACCTCCATGACGGCACTCCTGTGAGTCACTCTTCATCTTGAAAGGCTTTTTCGATTCAGATTGTGCTGCACATCAACACTATCATGTTAGAACCTAGAAGAGAGTAGGATACATACATGTATAAGTTAGATTATTAGTAATATTGTTCAGACCTTGAAAGGCATCATGTTAGGTTCTACATGAGTACATAGGTGTTTGCCCAATTCATGTTCGATCTACTCGACCATGTGTGACGATATCTTGCACATAGAGGAGACCTAAACAACAACTAACTTGATATGTGTTATCTATTATATGCCTATATATTGATGTCACCGTTAACTGGTCTTTCAAGGAATATTTGAATTTGGCATACTACCTTATGATTAATTGACAAATATGTTTATTTTCTTTTGCTCCCTCATTCCAGGGACCTTCTACAATGGATCGAACAACGATCAAGACTTGGACTTGTCTCCGCTTTCTCGGTAGGGCTCCGACCATGTGACAGACCATGTTTCACTTGTTTGTATGTTGAACTTAGAAGTGGGTTGAACTTTGTGGACTTTGGACATGTTGATGGTGTTTGTGGACTTTGCATTGTGCTTGTGACATTTGTTGTAGCTATATGTTGGTTATAATGAGTGGATGTGACATTTGTGGACATATATGTGATATATATTGTCTATCTGTTGGTAATCGTGATATTCTCGTTATAATTGTTGTTAATTGTGGCTGGATATGCACCTTTGAAACAAACAAAAAAAATCATGGACAAGTTTTACTGAGTGTTACACTCGGTAATGGTCATGTTTATCGAGTGTTACACTCGGTAAAAAATAGAGAAACGAACCAAATTGGTTCTCGATTCTCATTAATTTTGCCGAGTGGTGCCATTTTTTACCGAGTGCCACGACCCACTCGGATATATGTGCCATTTTTTACCGAGTGGAACACTCGGTTAACGAGTTACATGTTTACCGAGTGTTACTGGTACACTCGGTAAACTATATTGGGGAAAAATATTTGCGGAATTGTTTTAATCATGAAAATGGTTATCTGTTTACCGAGTGCTATGTCTAACACTCGGTAAACGACGCCGTTAACGGCGAGCTTGGGGACTGACGACCGTCACGTCGTAGTTGTTTACCGAGTGCCGGCGTAGCACTCGGTAAGATTTATTCTCCGAGTGCCCCGTTAGTTGACACTCGGTAAACTAACTTTACCGAGTCGTTGTTTACCGAGTCATGTTTACCGAGTGTGGCACTCGGTAAACAATTTACCGAGTGTTTCTCCATATTTGCCGAGTGTTTATCACACTCGGTAATTAATCAGTATCCCGTAGTGTATGTTAATCACAATAAACTTTGAGATAAAAATCAATGAGCTTATCCATGTTCAAAAATCGCATGATATAATCATTTAAATACAAACGAATCTATAATCGAATCAAATCCCGATCTATCATGTTCATCAGTAAGGGTCGATTGTTTCGATGCAGCTATGACATCCATGACAAACCTTAAAATAAATCTTTTATAGATCTATCTATATTCAAGAGATCGCAATATACGAACTATGTACGTATCAACACATGAAAATCGGCTAAACAACCGATTTCTACATGGGAAACAAACGAACGCGTGACCCGCCCATAGTTCGATTTGCTAGCTACCAAGATTCAATTATGTGCTTACGTCAGTGAGGTTCGATCGTTTCGATGTAGCTATGACAGTGACCATAGACCGAGGCTTGATAGCCTTTAAACCTCTTTATGGATGACTCACGTTTCGAATGCAGCCCATGCACGATCAAAACCGAAATAAAACAACCAATGAAACATAATTCATCAATTATACTTATAAGAACATCAAGTTATATCAAGATTAAATGATGAATCCAAAGAATATGAGGCCGATCTAGATCGATTTTAATCGGGCGAGTTGATATTGCTGAGAAAATAATATTAATGAAATATATCAGCAAAATCGGTAACTTAATGAATCTATCCGAAAGTGCCACCTCTAGATAGAGCCGATAATTTGACCTTAATCTAGTTCGAGCAGTGAAGTTCAGACTTAACCGATGCAGCCGTACAAGAACTAGGCAATAGTCGACAACTAATCTATACTACCACTCGCAAGAGATCAATCAGCTGATGCAGCCTTACGAACAATAACATAGATCAAACCTTATATTATGCCTTGCAAGAGATCAATCAGCTGATGCAGCCTTACAAATAATAATACAAAGGGTGGCGGTACATACAAGCAAACCGGAGGTCAATCAGCTGATGTAGCCCTGCTTGTCGAAGAACTCACCGAAATCTACTTTACTCCTACTCCTAAGGGTTTGGCGTTGAGCCAAAAAAGTTGTATATTGATTGTGTCGTCGTTTTACAAAACCCGAGGTTTAATATTATACCCGTAAACTAAACAGAGTCCTATTCGAATACGAACTCGTTACAAACTACGGAAATAAAGAGAAAAGTTTCTAATTATGTCGATAACTTGGAGCCTAATCTTTCATTTCATAGACCCCAACCGTATTCTTCTTGACGCCATCCCTAACGCATTCTGCCGACGTCACCCAAGATTTAGCCGATTCAACCCTTTTCAAAATCAGCCGATATCGACTTCTTCCAAAATCGATTGCAATCTCCCCTTTTGAAAAATTTCACACTCCCGCGTATCTTTTGTCCAAATTCTGGTGCAAATAGTAGCTAATTATATTTTTTTAAGGTCAACTTCAAGGAGATAAAACGATGATGAGGCCGGCGGCGGACGTGTACTGGAGCTCGACTACTCCTTTACCAATACCACCGACGATGTCAACCAGGCGCCGCAGCTGGCGAAGAAGAACGCGGGCGACGCCACCGCGCTGCTCCCTGCCGGGCCTGCCGACGGTGGTGACCAGACCTTGTTCAGTGGACACAACGCGGAAGAGATTTGTGATTAAGCATGAATACAAAAGTACTTATCTGTCCCACTGCTGACTTGCTTGGAGCTTTTTTAACATAATGACAGAAAACATCAGGCTTTATCTCCATAAGTGAGGAATCAGACCAAAATTATTACACGACAAAAATGCTTAAAACGAAACTGTCTCGTACACCAAATAAACTTATTAGTTTGTAAGCCTAATGATATAAGGCCAAACATGTGAGGCCAAGAAGGTCATTGCGGCAGACTCCAACGTGCGACAAACAAAGATGATGCAACAAGCAAAGTGCGACAAGCAAATAAACTTGTGTTGGAGCTGCAGCGGCATGTTCCCTGGCTACGCCCGCCTCACAGGCACAACGTCCCCCATTCTCTGAAGATCTAGCAATAGCACTAGAACCTGCTGACTAAATGATACAGTATTCCTTTTGAAAAAACTGCCGGCAGGATTATGCCAGACAAATATATTGATAGATAGAGAGGATAAAATAGCCAAAATACAGAAAACGGCGAAAATACAAACTGCCCAAATGAGGAATTTAGACCCTCAAGGCAAAAGATGCAAACGGCCTAAGTCAAAGGCAAAATTTCTCCTCTTTCAGTATATATTTTGACACTGATATATATGTGATACTGATGGATGGAGAAATTCAGCCCATGTACTGTGTACGGCTTTGGATATTTTTGACAAGTCTTCCTTCATCTCCTTCGTCCCCACAGTTTCTTCCCCGGCGGCTTCGTTCAGGGCTTGTTTAGTTCTTTCGTTAAAACTTTACACTCTATCACATCGAATGTTTAGACACATATATGAAGTATTAAATGTAGAATAAAAAAATAACTAATTGCACAGATTGCGTGTATTTTGAGAGACGAATTTTTTGAGCATAATTAGCCCGTGATTAGGCAATGTCATGCTACCGTAAACATGTGCTAATGACGGATTAATTAGTCTTAATAAATTTGTCTCACAGTTTATAGGCGAGTTCTGTAATTAGTTTTTTATTAGTATCCGAACACCTCTTTCGATATTTCATAAAACATCCAACGTGACACCCAAAACTTTAGACACCTTGAATTAAACGAGGCCTCATTTTTTCCTCAAAAGTCCAAACAGCTTGAATAGTTGCTGCAATAATGCAATCCTAGCTGCTTACAACTACAAGCCAGTAGCCAGCAGCCCAGCACCCAGCAGTGCACAAAGCAAGCTAGCTTACATCCCTGCCTGCCGTGGCCGTCCATGGCACCCATGCCGGAGGAGCTCGAGCTCATGGGTCAGCAAGACCGGCGAGACGTGCTGGCTGTGGCTGTGGCTGACCCTGAGCCCGAGCCGTTCTCTCCCTCCATCTTCCTGGACCTCCCTCCGACGCCCAGCCGTCCCGACTGCCACAACGAAGACCTGGCATCGTCCGACGACCTCGTCCTCCCCTTCATCTCGCGGATGCTCATGGAGGATGACATCGACGACGCCTTCTTCTACAAGTACCCCGACCACCCCACGCTCCTCCAAGCCCAGCAGCCCTTCGCCAACATCCTCTCCGACGCCACCCCTCCGGACCGACCAGTGGAGCCGCTCTCACAGTCACAGCTGCTGCTCCAGCAGTTCCCTGCCGACGGCGACGACCTGCAGGTCTTCTTCAGTGGCTGCAACGGGGACATGCTCAACATCGCATTGCTCAAGGGAATGGAAGAGGGCAGCAGGTTCTTGTCGTTGCCAACCAACAACGGCCTCCTCAACAGCAAGAAGCAACCGATCCAAGTGAATACGGGTGGCAAGCTTAAGAACAGGAGGCGTACTCTGCAGCAGGACGAAGATGAACCGGATGAGGCCGAGACGAGCAGGAACAGCAAGCTGATGGTGCCTGAGCCGGAAGAAACCGGCGAGATGGTTGACCAAATAGCTCTCAACGTGTTCAGCTGGTGCCTCTCTGAAATACAGAGCTTGCGCTTGACTATCGGCGGCGAGCAGGTTGAGAACAACACCAGGACCGGGACCGAGTCCAGGAGCAAGACGAACAAGAAGAACGGCAAGTACTGGGCACATGAGACCATGGACTTGCACACCATGCTCCTCCACTGTGCGCAAGCCGTGGGCATGAACGACCGTCGAAGCGCGACGCAGCTGCTGGGGCAGATCCGGAAGCGTTCCTCGCCGAGCGGAGACGCCAACCAGAGGCTGGCGCACTGTTTCGCCCAGGGACTAGAGGCGCGGCTCGCCGGCACAGGCAGCCAATTGTACAGGTCACTCGTGTCAAGGCGCACCTCCGTATTGGAGTACCTCAAGGCCTACCAACTGTTTGTCGAAGCGTGCTGCTTCAAAACGATGGCGTTCCGCTTCTCCAATCTCACCATCTGCCATGCCACCTTGGGGAGAAACAAGCTGCACATCGTAGATTACGGCATCGAGTACGGTTTACAGTGGCCAACTCTGCTGACCCGTCTCGCAACGCGGGAAGGTGGACCGCCGGAGGTGAGGATGACAGGCATTGATCTCCCACAGCCAGGGTTCCGGCCATCTTCTCGGATCGAGCAGACGGGGCGCCGCCTCAGCAGCCGTGCCAGTCAGTTGGGCGTGCCATTCAAGTTTCGGAGCATCGCCGCCGCTAGGTGGGAAACGATCCGCGTGGATGATCTTGACATGGAGCCTGATGAGGTACTGGTTGTCAATAGCCTTGTCCCGTTTGGACATCTGATGGAAGATGGTGTCACCGTGGATAGCCCCAGCCCCAGGGATGTTGTCCTGAACAACATCCAGAAGATGCGTCCCGATGTGTTCATCCTTTGCATCGTGAATGCCTCGTACAATTCACCTTTCTTTGTCACGCGGTTCCGTGAGGCGCTCTCATATTACTCAGCAATATATGACATGCTTGATGCCACCACCCCACGGGATAATGAACTACGCTTGCTGGTTGAACGCGACCTCTACGGACAGTGTGCCTTGAATGTTGTCGCCTGTGAGGGGCTGGACAGGGTGGAGCGGCCGGAGAGATATAAGCAATGGCAGGCGCGGAACCATCGTGCCGGGTTAAGTCAGCTTCCTTTGGATCCATGTATAGTTAAGGATGTCAGGGAGTGGGTCAAGAGCCTATACCACAAGGATTTTGTCATTGACATCGATCAACACTGGCTCCTTCAAGGGTGGAAGGGGCGTATACTCTACGCCATGTCAACATGGGTTGCATGCAAATGAGTCAGTCTAGCTAAGGATTTAGCTGCTTTTTACATAGCTTATGGATCTATCTCTCTGTGTGCCAATGTGCCTAGAAATAAGTGGAGACACTAATAAATTAAGATAGGGGTGCTGTGTGTTGACGTACAATATATCAATGCAGAACTTTGTTTTATTATTTCTTTTGCTAATTCTATTGCTCTGTGTTGTCTGAGCCTTGTTGATTCTTCTGTCTTTTTCCTTCCTGACTCTTCAATCTATAAAATATACAGAGTATGTGTGCTAGAAGTGGCCGATTGAGTAATATTTTATTTTATCAATCGAGATCTTTGTTGCTTTTTTAGAGAATTGTTTGTGCTCCTATTTTGTTGTCAATTGTATTTTCTATATTGTGACCAAATTATAAGTACTAATATTAATTTCTCCACCACCTATGTACATATGGGTTCAATTGGCAAATGGTCCCCTATATTTTACTTCAGGCTCTGCCACTGGAGCCATGAGATGGAGGTTGCAAGGACCATGGAAATGAGAAGCTTAGAATGGTGATGAAGACGGAGAACAAGGAAGCAAAAGCCCAAATACAAAGGTATATGGATCGGGTTTTTGTTTCACCGGCCAAGGTGTTGTAGAGAAGTGAATGGTCGGGTGTAGCATAAATAATCATACTATAAAGAGGGCAAATCTTTGGTAAATACATTTATCTAGTGCCACTAGGTAAAGAGTAACCTTGCATATGTGTTATACTAATGAAAAGATAATAATGAAGCAAGAGAAAACCTTTGAAAATGCTAATAACTCACTACTGAATGTGTTATTGTCTCATGGGGCACACTTTGGAGTTAGCATATTTGAAAATAATTTGAGAGAGGAGGGTTTTTACCCCACCGTAAAACTTATCTGCCAGATGCAGAAGGGGCACCAGAGGCAGGTCACCAGTTGGTATGGCAATCACGTGGAGGCAGGTCTACAATAGGACAATAAGAGATCTATGTTGAATTTGAGCAATTGTGTGAAATGTAATGAGCTCTGTGATATATTGTATTGTGATAACTATGCCTTAATATTCCCGTGATGAGTGCGAGTACTTATCTATGGAGGGTAATGGCTCTGATGGATATGTGCTTACATGGCGGTGTTAGTTATGGTATCCTACTTGCGGGTAAAGTATACAACCTCTGCAAAGTATAAAATCTATCTAGATAGTTGGGTCCACAGTCTCGGATGAGTTATGGTTTGGTTTCAACAACTAGTTGGGTTGGGATGAGTGGAAACATGAGTGCGTGTGTGTGATGTAGGGACCGTGAAGCCTAAGAGGAGGTGAATTAGACAACTTATTAAAATCTACTTCTAAAACTAAGGCCTCTAAAAACAACATAGTCAAAACCTTTGAAAAAATTAAACTATCTAGATGCGCAACTAAGATTTTGCTAGGTGTGTTGCTATGTCTACCACAAAACAGGTGTGCATCTTAGGTTCCAATCCTATTAACTAGTGTATCAAACTAAATTAGGAAAGTAATCACACAGCCAAGGTACATAAATTAAGTGCAAAAGGTGAAGGGCAATATAGATGCAAACTCACGTTTGACGACGCTTAGTACGTAAATTAAGTGTGAAAGATAAATGGGAATAGAGATGCAAACTTACGTTCGACGACATTAGTATTTTTACTGAGTTATCGAGAAGCTCCTTACTTTCCCAGGTCCTTGTTGGAGCCCCATGCAAGGATGCCCTGGCAAGAGCCAAGCTCCCGGATGGGTAACTCCGTGGACAGCTCCTGAGCCTTCCCCACATGCAACTGGGTCTCCGAGATGCTCTCTCCTAGACCTCTCCCCACCGTCTTCACTATCAAGCTTCTGGCCAAACCGCTACCGGCCTTGTTCCCTCTGGTGCATGGTGGCGGTCATACCACAAACACGGTTGGTATGGTCTCGTAAGACTACAAGCCCCTTTGGTGTACAACCATAGTGCGCACAAGTATAGAGTGGTAAGAGGAATGCAAGCCTCACTAAACACTGGGCTTAAACCTAGAGCAAGTGCATTAGCGGTGGTCTAATTAGTCTAAGCACTTCACAAAGCACCTACACTAATTACCTAATGTTTTCCTAAGCACATTTTTTGGCTAGAGCACAAATGGATGAGCCTCAACTCTCCACACACCTATCTTGGCCGAATGAAGGGGTATAAATAGCCCTAACTCCATAAACTAGTCGTTACAATATTTTTTGTGAGCATCACACTTATTTCATGGGCATGGGACTAATAGGTGTGTAGCATCGGACTAATAGGTGTGAGCATCAGACTAATAAGCATCAGACTAAATGGTACCATGTTTTCAGCATGTCACGTTTTTATATTTTGGGCATAACTTTTAGGTATGAATTCCGATTTTGAAGATGTTGGACTTTTTGGAGAGCTTATGAAAAGCTCTATAGTTTTGAGCTAATGATATTTCAATTTGAGCAGTTTCAAAATCATTAGACAATTCCAATTTATCCATCTCTTTGTCTCGGCTTCAGTGGCTTCAATTTTATTTGTCTTTGCATCTGGCTTCTACTTCTTGGTGTCTTGGACTTCTAGCATGTCTTGTAGGTCTTTGACATTGATTCTAATGTATTTCTTGACATATTGATCATTCGGACCACCACTTTGCCAAACTCCAAGTCCACCTTACAACGTTGTTAGTCCAAATGGTCATATTGATCATCAAACACAAAAATCCAAACTAAATGGACCATGGGGTCCAATTTCCTTACATGTGATTTTAGAAATGAAGGGTTGCCACCAATATGTTGTGGGAACAGTGTTCAGCAACACTTAAAATCATGACAAAGTCGTCGAGTTGCTGCCAACCATAGTGCGCCATCGCTGCGAACCTCCGCTGGTGCCATCTTCATCTGCTTCAAGTGAGGTGACACCAGGTGTCGTCGGTTAGCCCACCTTCATCCATCATCGTCCAGTCACTATCCAATCATATGCGAGTCAACAAGATCTGCTTCCGCTACGCCGGATTCCAAACCTTTGTCGCCCATAGGACAGTCGTCGTCACTTCTGCTGGAGTCCTCTGTCCCTACCATCCAATATATCCTCATTTGCCCAAAATCCTAGGCTAGCGCCGCCCCTAGGGCCATCGCTGCCGATGGGATCCGCTCCACCTGGATTCACCCCTTCCTTCGCTCCGCCACTGCTGAGGGCGGCACTCCTAGGTCGTGGCCCCTAGGACATGACTGCCTACGAAACCACCTCCACTGGATCCGCCATCTCCCTACCGAGGACTGGGCGTCGACACTTAGGCTGCCATCGTCCTTCGCCACACACCTGGCGCTACCACACCGCTAGGTGTCCTTGGACACTCGGATCAGCGGGGAGCACTGTCACACCCGGTTTTAAATAACAAAACCAGGCTCATCATATGTGTGCCCAGAAAGTCCACACATACAACAAATGAGTAAATAGTATCATAACAATGTTATTAAATTACATATACATAACTATATTAACACTTACATCAGAGTATTGTGGAACGATAAAAATATTCCGACTCCATTCTTCACAGGGACGGCTGACTGGGGGTAACATATGCCTAGCACTATTGCTAATCTTCTAGGAACCTCTATGTCTTCATCAATCTTCTAAGCAACTTTTACTAGAGGCTCGGGTGTGGAAATAGCAAGGCTAAGCACATGTCGTACTTAGCAAATATAACATGGGCGAATGTAGGCTCAAAAGGCTTGACATGGTTGAACTGCGGAAAGCACGTCTAGTAGATCAAGTTTTATCATTAGAACCTGAGTTGCTATATTGTGCTTAAGCTCCAATTCCCACACAATCATATACAATGGCAATATGACAATTATGAATAAACATGAGCACCAACACCATGCTACAATAAGAACCCATAATTCCGTCAGTTTCCAAGCCACTCGTGACCGTGAACACGGCTGTTATAACAGTTTTACACTCTGCAGAGGTTGTACATCTTTACCCATGAGCCATGATACCCATATGCTCGGGTTAATTACTCCCAAAACACTTCCAAGGTGAGCGGACAAGGATCACTATGAAGTCTTTCAAAGGTTCGTCTAACAAGTTAGGGCCGCTAGGTTTCCTTGGCAAGGGAATGTAGACCTCACCTTCCGAATGGCACATTCCGCGTAGGCTATACACATAGGGATAGAGGCCGCACTATACTCAGCTCGACAAGCCCCACTTGCGCCATAAAGGTAACCACTAACAAGCTAGAAAAGATCCTCATACTTAACTAAAGGCAGAGTCATATAACACTCATGGTTGCACTGTAAGTCCCGGATTTTCCTAACAGATAAGTTCCTAGAATTCCATGTTGCTAAAAAACACATTTTAAACATCATTGCATATGCCAATAGCCAATATTATGGAGCTTTCATCATTAAGTAGAGCAACTAGCAGAATTACCCATATGCATGAACCCAGAAGGTAGCAAGGAACAAGATAAACAATTGCTAGGATCATCCTTAGTGGTAAATCAAATTAGACACATGCATGAATGTAGTGGCATTAATGGTGTATAGGTATCAAGGAAAGCCTCATATTATATTTGCCTTAAACACTTGCTTTCCACTCAAGACAACTACTCATACAAATTCTTCAATTTCCTTTTCTGCAGCTTCCGGCCTCCGGCGCTTATGGACAACTCTTCTTCTACTCGCAGATCGTAGCAACCAAGCGCACCAACAAATATACAAGCAAACAAATAAAAGCAACTACGAACAGTACACCATACAAGAGAAAACAATGTACTAAAACAGAGCTCGCCTACGGTCGTGGGAACGTCAGAAACGCCGAAAGCGGGACTACTACCGAAAGATTTATATATTATAAAACAAAAGAAACCACTACCAAGATTGATTGATTTTAATTAAGCAAGACTATGAAAAAGTTATTAGTTCAGTTTCAACAAATCATATTTAACCTTAAAAACCGAATTGAAGCTAATCATATTTTATTCTATAAACGTTATCACATATTTTATTAAGTAGT